CAGGTCCCTCAAGAAGAAGGCTCTGATACCAATTGTTGGTTTTTTAATAAAGAAATTAAGAAAATAACAGAGAAAGACTTTGAGGGAAAAAATACTGCAGTATTATCAAAGGGAATTATTTTATTAATAATTCAGAGACATACATTTATAGATATAATTCCTAACTAAAAAATAGAAAAATATGCTACTAACTTATCAGTTAAATTTAAATAACAAATAAAAGAACTAACTCCTAAATTTAAGTCACATAGGACTCTAATAAAATAATTTAAAAATCCTAAAAGTAGCTAACTGATTTATTTTGCAATATCCGAGACATATTCTCAACATCCCTCACAAGTTTAATATAGTAATTATCTCTTAAAACTTTAAGTTGGTTCATTTTAGTTTATCCTAATAGTGACTCTTAAGTTTTGTGGAGCAGACAAAAATAGACAAATTGAAGAGGGAACAAGGGAAAAAAGTTCCTATACAAAAATTGCCATCAAGTCCATCACAAATAAAAAGTAAATACTCTTAATTAGAAAAAGTTCAAATCTTCATTGACTCTCCAAATAATTAATATTAGTAGGAATGTTAAAGCAAGAAAAAAGTTTGCGAAGCAAAGCGCATGGCAAAGAAGCAGCCAGCTGACTGCGCCCTTCCACCCAGCCTTCCTTTGTTGTGTGAATAAGGTCGTAGTCTGTATGGGCATTCTGGGCAGGCTGCAATAAGTCGCTAGTCGATGGTTTAGACCAATCGCAATTCATCACCATCTTGCCCGCCTCCAATTGATGACTGGCTATCGTACAATTGTTGACCTAAGCCCTTGTGCAGGGGCTCGGTATGACTCCTACTAAGAACTTGAAGCCCCCTCTCTCTAAATAGAAAAGAATGCATTTACAAAGAATAAAAGACTTTTTCAAAAAGCCGTAAATTCATGTTTATTTTGTCTAAAAATAGTCCCAGTCAAGTATCAAATACTTGTTAAACTATATGAAGAGAGTACCAAAAGGAAAAAAATATGTTTAGAAGTTAATTAGAAGCAGAGGCGAATCTATGATTTTTCGAACATGGGTGCACCAAGTAAAATGTATTGAAGTGAGAATTGATCCTTAATCCTCAAGGTCAAAAGCTCAACATTTAACCATGTGGACCGTTTAGACTTCTTGTAGTACGGGTGCAAGAATATAATATTATACAAAATCTTAAAAAATATACCTATAAAATATCTAATTTTACGAAGAGACCACGGGTGCGGGTGCCCTTTTTTTGGCTCTAAATTCGCCACTGATTAGAAGCAATGTTGTTCTAAGCGAAAAGCTCACAAAGCGAGAAGTTCCATGAGGCTTGAATCGAAAAGTAAGAAGTGAAGCGCATGCTTCTTTCAATTGAATCTCACAGTTAGTAAATAAAAATCAAATCAAATTACAATTAACATTAGAAATTCAAGTACCAAATATACAATATTGCTGATATTAATCCAACTCCTTTATGTTGGGATTTAGTTAATCGTTTCTTGTTGTGTGTCATTATTTGAAGTGCTTATTTCTCTAAAGAATGAAAGAAAACAAAAATACTTGGATGGGGATGGGGTGGTTACCGGCGGCAGTGAGGGAGGTGGGGGCGGCGGTGGCGAGGAATGGCTGCGGTGGCTGTGGATGGTGGTGTATTGACGAGTTAGGGTGTGGGGGTGGGAAGGAGGGCGATTTTGAGAGGAGGAGAGGAAAAATGGTTGAAAGTCAACCACTAGATCTGGATTTATTTAAAAAAACAAACCAACATGGTCAATATTATCAGTCGGTTTAGGTAATTTTTTTAAGAGTACTGACAGTTGGTTAAACTTTAAAAAATATTTAGTGGTAATTTTAACAACAGTTTCGGTCGTTTTTTTGGACTGACTGGGTCGGTCGGTTTTAGTAGTTTTATCTAACAGTAGCTTGTTGCCTACTATTATTGTTACACCCTGGACAATTTGGAGTAGACCTACATGCCAATGCCATCTGTAGATAATTCATGGAATTGGCAAGTTACAGCATTTTGCAGAGTATCTGTATAAATCATGCCGAGGAAAATGTACAAAGTATAGACTACTAAAGAAAAAGATCCAAGTATTGACTTGGCATTTGAGATTGAGGGCAGAATGATGTATTCTACTACCTGTGAAAGATAGTTCTGTAAGTTAATAGTGTAGGCTTCAACTGGCTTGAGTTCAGTAAATAATAGTGTGGGCTTCAACTGACTGAGTTCAGTAAATAATAGTGTAGGCTTCAACTGGCTTGCCTCGTGAAGATCCTAAACCTCAAAGTATGCTCTTCCCTGTATGGTTGTGTATCTATCGACTTTCTTAACCCAACCGCTCTTCCTCCCACGTTATTGCCTTTTCAGGTGGTTACAGGCTTACAGCGGCTTACATCTGATCCAACATGTTGGGATAAGAGATAATTTAATCACTTATTTTTTTCAGGGGGATTGTTTGGGAGATGTTGGGGCGTGTTGTTCTATGGAGGAGATGGAGAGTTCTCTTGGTGATATTTGTTTTTCCCTTTTCTCATATTTGCAAGTGGTTATCTTTTGTTGACTTTTTTTGAATGAAAATTTATGATGACATGATCATCATTTTCAAGGAAACAGCCTCTCTGCATACATCCTACCATCCTCACACCCTACTTGTAGGATTACATAAGTTCTTGCTATTGTTGATCATCTTTTTCAAGTTGATTCGACTTTTGCTGTAGATTGTTGAAGTAAGGGAGACACTTCTGCAGCAGTTGCAAAGTAAGAAAGATCCACAGCCAGAAGAATCCAAGGACTCTGAGATTGTTGATGCATCTGAGATGGATGTCAAGGTCAGTGGACAGCAAGGGTCTGATAGTAAATTGGAGGAGAAAAATATTTCAGTAGAGACTGCAAATGCCTCTCAAGATAAAGATAGTTTGCATGATGAGAAACGTCAAGAGCAGTTAGAAGATGAAAAGACCAAGAGTACAATCTCATATGCTGACAAGAACGAGGATGACGTTTCTTTCAGTGATCTTGAGGATGATGATACCGATCTATCGGATAGTAGACTACAAGGAAGCAAGCCCACACACAGAAAGAAAGTTTCCTCATCTAGTGAATCTCATGAATGGATTCAACTAAATGAGAACTCTAAAGCTCAAGGTAGTCAGCAGAAGGCTGGCCAATCTATTCACCGGGATAAAGATTCCGAAGGTGAGGACTCCAGTGACTGGCTCACTGTTGATGACGTTGATTCAGACAGTTTGGCCACCAATTGATTCCTCTAAATTCTGTAAATGTTTCTTTTGTTACTCTCATAAATTTATCACCTTGTAGATTTATGTTGATGTCTTTGAAAATAAGTTAAAACAACCCCCTCACACCCCCCGCCCCCAACCTACCTCAACCCCCAAAGCAAAAAAGGAAGAAAGAAAAAGAACTAGAGAGATCAGTTGACATGAGTTCACATGTCATAGCTGACCTCCTTGGTGCCAGAATTGGCAGAAATTGGTATTGCTGCTTGTTGGTTTGATTTTCACTTTCTTCATATTGTACATGATTTTCTACTCTTTTTTCAGAATGCTGTTATTTTTTTTAGATTAGTGAATTTACCCAATTACTTATGGGGCTTTTTATAAAAAAAAATCAAATGAATTAATGTCTTGCAAAAACATAACCAACTTTTTTGGGCATTCTTGCTCTTATCGCCTGGAAGTTGGGAACTATACCTTATACATTGTGTCAACAAGCATATCTGTGCCTTCAGACACCGTAAAAGGATAAGATATGAGGTGCTCAGAAATAGTTGAAGTAGGTGAATAGGAGGATTACTATAACAATTATCCTTCATCCAAAACAAAGGACATCTAGTCTTGGTTCTTTTTTCAACTTTTCATTTGACCCTACTGATCTATTGTTTCATAATTTTAAAAAAAAAAAGGAGTTACGAATAACACTGAAATAGTAAAGGGTCATTTACTCCTTATGCCAGTGTTGCTAGTGCATGTACTCTTCTTATTTTTTCACTTAGTAAGATATCATAAAAGGCACCAAGAAGGTGCATAGAGATTACAAAAATATACAAAACTAAAGAGCTAACAAAGTTTTAGTATGTCCAGCCTTCATGTTGTAGCACATGTTTTCAAATTAAAATAGAGTGAAAGAGCCTAAAATTTCAGGTAGGAAAAGCAAAAAACTGATAGTTAAGGTGTGCAATAATATTTGGTGATAGTCAGGTAGGAAACTGAAAACCAAACACACCTAATAGTTTTGGTGTGAAACTCAAAGAACGGAATACTTTCAATGTGTTACTGACCTTTATCTCTTTCAAATAAGATGATTAGTAGACCAGTCATTACTTTCCAGCAACATTGGTCTATGATCTAAGATAACCAAAAGTTAGGAGAGAGTTGATTTATAGAGCCAAAAGTATCATTCCATTCATTAGAGATTAGGAATCTGAAATTCTGGAAGCTTGAGCAGATTCTTCTCCACTAAACCAGGTGTAGCAAGCTCCTTGTTATAGGAGATCAATCAATTCCATGCCCTAAATAAAGTTAGAGAAAAGCTCCTCATAGCTCTTGACCTTCGTACAACAACATACACAATATAATCCCATAGGTGGAGTCTACAGAGGGTAGAGTGTATGCAAACGTTATCCTTACCTTGTGCAGGAGGAGAGGTTGTTTCTAAAATACCTTTAGCTCAAGTGACTGATATGTTAAAGCAGTTTGAAAAAAAAAAAGTAAACCGGACATAGCAAATAATACGGAAAGTATTACATGGTATTCAGAAAACAAGAAACAACAACAATAGTCAAATAATGCGATAACCAAAGCTCAAGAAACAACGGGGAGTAACAGAAATCATAGGACAAGACTACTGATATAAACAGAGAAACAGATATGGTGCTCGACCTTGGAATGCAATTGAATCTTTCAGGTTCATAACTGCATACATTGAAATACCCTGTACCACCCATTGATCATTCCATAAAGCCTTGACTGCAGATACCTCCCAAAATTCTAATCTTTCCCGATTAGAGTATGGCTTATAAACTCCAGTGAAGGATGTCAAGCTTCCACTTTTGTACCAGACTTTCATCAATCATAACTCAATTCTCATCTTTTCACCATGATTTGATCCTTACAAAGCGATCATACGTGTTGAAGTTTTGATTTCCATTCCCCTTCAACAAGGAAAGGAGAATAGTTGAAAAAGTATGCTATGCGCAGACTGACTTGCTACTTGCTTTCTTTGAGGGATTATTGAGTAAAGGGCGACGAAAGACGATTGAGACTCTTTTTACCACTTAATACATACCAGACATTCATCAATCATAACTCTTCTCGTCTTCTCACCATGATTCGATCCTTACAAAGTGATCATACTTGAGCTTTTGATATACTTTGTAGACATACTCATGGATTTTCCTTCCCCATCTTCTGCATATGTTACCTTGCGATCTGAAGCTGATTTGAGAGCTCACATATCCTCGGAGATTCTCATCATTGATTTTTAACCTGCTTGTGAATCGATGGCCATACTCGATTAAGAAAAAAAAAATTATGGCTTTCGTCAATGAACTATTAATTCAAAGGACTTCTCACCAACAAGAAAGAAAGTTTTTGCACAATCAAAATGCAGGCAAGAGAGTCCTGTGTTTTATGTTTCAAAGAAATCTTTTTTCTCAAGTGGTTTCTCTTTCTTTTATGCTGAACTAATTAAGTACATGCGGGCATGTATCTATATATAGTCACATATCCTTGATTTCCATGTACTGTTGCATATTCTATAACGTATAATATAATACAAAAATTCTTGCATAAGTATGCATGTATCATTTTATGTTATCTCGAAAACCAAATGTTCTATTTGTATTGCAACACTTTCTTACCAAAACAAAACATTGCATTGATATTGCACAGTTTTTTATGTTAGATTTTTCTTTTCAATAAAGGAAACAAAATAAATCTCAAGGGATGGAAACTTAGTGCATTAACCAAGTTCAAATAATCATACGACCAATAGCTGCATAAACACATATTACATTTTGATCTTGTTGATTGAGAATCGTACCTGTGTTTTGCCGGTTTTTCTGTCCCTAATAAGTAAATCTGACCACGTCCTATAGAGATCATCAAATCAATAGCTGAACTTCTGAAAGAGTTTTCATAATGCTATTACTTCAATTAAAGATCGAGTCAAAGGAGCACTCAAGCTAAAGCAAATGCACCTACAGAATGACGGCTCCAGAGGCGCTGCCACATGTGCCAGCACTGACAAGCGTTTCCAGACAAAGAGGGGAGGAAATGCTTGCTGCCAACTTGCCAGTCCTTGATCAATTAGTGGAGCATTCTAAACCTACATCAACAATCAATGAGGCACACATATTTCAACAGCTAATTGAATAGCCATTCTCATAATACATAGTTGTAGTTTTTAGTTTGGGGTGCCAACAGTAGCATAGTTGCTTAGTCGTCCTTCCTCATACAGAAATAATATAGGTGCTTTTCATGCTGCCTTTATTGGAAATGTACTAGACACACCTAGATGCACAAGGAAATGCACATATGATCACTTGGCTTTAGAAACAGGACACATAATTTTGTTTAATTATCTTGTGCATTGAATAAAATCCTCACCTAAGTTGCTCAAACTCTCCAAAATTGTTGCCGCACTCGTGTCGGATCCTCCAAAAAAGAGCACTACTTTTGGTGGATCCGACACACACTCTTCGACATTTTTGAAGAGTCCGAGCAACATAGAGATTCTCACAAGTCATGGAAAATCAGTCAATAGGAGTTACAGGTGAACAAGACAACAACTACTTGTTTCAAGGTTCTTACATACCAAATACTAATAAGCTATGTTGCTCGGACTCTTCAAAGATGTCGATGGGTGCGTGTCGGATCCTCCAAAAATAGTGTATTTTTGAAGGATCTGACACGGGTGCGGCAATATTTATGGAGTCCGAGCAACTTAGCTAATAAGCACATTAACCATCTACAACACCAATAAGATATGAATAATATACCGCGGGCGGGTGGGGGGTAGGAGGGGCGGGAAAAGGAAATTAAGAAAATCAATAACACAGCTAATTAAGTCACTAAACAAAGCAAGTATAAGATGCAGAAAATCCCGTTCACAATAACAATTGTAGACTTCACATGAAGGAATAAGAAGAAAGAAAACCAACTATAGACTGTCTCAATTTACTCCGCTATCCATGAACCTGACCAGCTGTCCATGCATAGTTACAGCTTCAGAATGTCGCTGAACAATTATCGAAGAATCATTTTACTGTTGATTGAGTTTACAAGCTAGTATCAAGACCTCCTTACTCTTTTATCCGCAGGCTTCAATGAACTTGCAGCAGCACGAGAACTAGACTGTGGCCTTGGAACTGAGTTAAAGGTGAATCCTGTCAAATTACTAGGACCTTTTTGAGAGGGTATGGGGGGTGGCACTCTGGAATTAGCAGGCAGATGATATAGAGGAGACGGTTGTGAAGAAAAACTGTCATGGGTAGGGGCAGAAGATGGATAAGGAAACACTGATCCTGTAGGAAGAGGCAGCAACATTCTCGAGGTTGGGTATTCAGGCGGAAAGGTCTTTGGTGGTTCATTTGTTCTTTCATTCTGAGCATCTGGCGGCAACCATTCAGGAATATCATCATCACAAAATAAGTTCTTCTTACCCGAGCTATGAAACGGAACCATCGGTGAACCATATGCACGAACAGGAACTGTCACTGGAATAGCATGACTTTGGCTGTAATGCTTTTCTTCCATTTGCCTAGAAGCAGTGACCAGTTGACTATAGTCATTAACATTTCTAGCTAGGGGCATCTCTTTACTGATCGATATTACTGACCTAGGAATAGTCATGCAAGCTGAAGGTGCCACAGGTCTGGTGGGCTGTTTAGACATATCTAAAATTCTACTTCCAGAAAGTTGAAGCCTATTGCCAATAATGGATCCATAGGAACGATGGGAACTTGAAGATATTCCGCTAGCAGTTCCAAAGTCAAACTCAGGGAGATCGTCATCATCTGGAAATGCCATTTTTCGTTTTGATGCATTGGACAGCAATGATGTTACAGGTTTTGGGAGGTTCCTGCTTTCCTTGGGTGGTTCATCATTTGACTGGTGCACACAAGAAGCTTCACTGCTCGACAAGTGCCCTTTAGATCCCCAAAGATGCGAGCCGGAAAGTTCAGATTTTTTTTGCTGAAAAGGTGGTGACTTCACACCTGAAGCTGTTAAGGTTGTCCTGCTTGCAGAATCAATATCAATACTCTTGTTATCAGTGACATTTGCTTGTTCAAGATTTGAGAAAGAGCTCAGTGGGGCAGATGGGTTTGAGTTCTTAACTGATGGCATAGATAAAGAACCTTGTCCCCCACCTTGCAACCTAGAAGAATCAGATGGAGACTTTTGAAGCTGCTCCTGCAAAGAATTAGCCTTTTCCTCAGACTTTTTAAGAACAGAAGTCAAAGCTGTTCGATTTTTCTGCCATACAACACAACCAATCATCAACTGAGAGTTCCCTTCCACAGCTGCCGTTCCCTTCAAGAAACCGTATTTTTCAAGAATAATGAAAATTGCATTGGTCGGGGGACAAAGGTAGATAGTAACACCTGGAGAGAGCTTTGCTATCCCGACTCTGCCACATTTCATATAATCTTTTGCAACCTAAAGAAGACAACACTACCTTAAGCAGGGGAACATTTACAGAAACAATATTTTCATTTATTGGTAGGAATAGCATTTACCGCTTTCATGCCCTTGAGTCCTATTGCAGAAGCTCCCTCCTTGAGGCAAAAAGAAACTACCTGAACACAAAACAATTCACTTAATAATAAATCACACTAATACAGCCGATGTATCTGAATCATCTGATCACTAGAGCATATAATCTATAATAGCCTTATTGTGCCTTCATACACCAAATATTAGCTTTTTTTGCACTAAGGACTTGTAAAGCCTTTTAACAAGGTGGGGAACCTCCAACTGGACATCGAAAGCATATAGAATTTTTATTTTTATTTTTTTCTACGAAGCAAAGAATAAAAGCGGATGGTTCAACTTGGTAGATGATGGGCTTGCCTCACTACCCTTCTCCACTTAAATATCTGGCTTTTTATCTATGGAAGGTTTGAACAAAAGCATGGAGAATTATTGCAACAACATACCTAGTGTAGTTCCACAAAGTAGGGTATAAAGAGGATAGAGTATATGCAGACCTTACCACTAACTCAGAGGTAGAGAGGCAAGCATGGAGAACGATTATGAGACATAAAATATTCAAGTCTAACTGTTGAAGATTCAACATTATAGTACCTGATGATGCAATTACATTTCAATTCCAAGGAAGTTAGGGTAGAAAAAACTGACTTGGAGACTTGGGACCTTGGCTTAGTAATGAATAAAGGGAAGCTCGTCGAGCTTTTTCTGCCGGCGGAAGAATTCCTCATATGTGAGCTTTTTTCATCAGCGGAAGAATTCATCGTTTGTGAGCTATTGGGGATCTATTAGGATTCCTCATATGAAAGGATTGACTTTACTTGCCTCATACTCGCTGCAATATGTCCACCTAGCATTTTCATTTTGGTTCAAAGTGTTCACTTATATAATCAAAAAGGAATAAATTATTTCCTTCAGAATTTACCCCTATTTAGATGAGTGTATATGTAATCAAGAAAATTAATTAGATAATAGTTAATTAAGGGTAGTTTAGTCAAAAAGTATATTTCATAGTGAAAAGTCAAAAACACACTTAGAGTATCCTAATTTTTTCGAGTTTCATACTTCAATTATTAGGTAAGCAAGTTTCCTACCTGAACTATCACCAAATGTTTATCGAAACACACCTCGTTACTGACTAGACCAAGTGTTCGCATACAATGGCTTCTAGGCACGTAACAACTTCATTTTCTCATAAAATTTCATCCACATGATATATGTAACGGCTATATGAGCTGACCCATTAATTTTGTATTGTTTTTTTTAAAAAAAAAAATCAATTATTAACCCTAAGCTCTTCCCTTCATCATTTCTCAAACATTTTTCTTCATTTCTTCTTCTCTACTGCAGATTTTCTCAACCTACTACTTCATCAATTATCAGCAATTTCTTCATTTTCTTCTTCTATCATGGCAAATCATATTTTCTTCTACTTTTTCATTAGTTATATTTTCTTCTCTTCTTCTATCCATATGATATCAAGACCTCTATGATTTGAGCAGAAATTTAAGTAGCTTGAGCCCACTAGAGTAGCCTAATAATATTGTTTTTGAGAAAATGTTGTATTCCTCAGCATTAGGGATATGTTGGAGACCTCCGAAAAATGGGTCCCAACAAGAGAAAAAAACAAGGCTAATAGAATACAAAGTACCTATAAAATCCAAAATTTGGGCAGCTTTTTCTATCCCTTCTTCTTTACACCAAATATAAAAAGTAGTCAAGCAATTCCATTTGACTTTCTCTATTAAATTAGCCTTTTTTTCAAAGCATCTGCTATTTCTTTCTTTCCAAATAGACCACCAAATGCATGATGGCATTATACTCCACTTTTTCTTAGAATTTTTCCCCCCTCTGCTGATCCAACAACTAAGTAGATCTGTTGTATGCTCCAGCATAATCCATTCGGTAAGTGTTAGTCCTAGAAAAAGGTTCCACAATTGTGTTGTCACTCTATAGTGAAGGAACAAGTGGTGGTTGGTTTCCTCAGTCTCATTATAGAGAGAGCACCAAGCGGCAACATAGAAACCTCTCCTTTTCAATTTCTCATGTGAGGAGCATGCTCTTCTGGCAACCAACTAAGAGAAACACTTTATCTTGGTTGGAACCTTGTTCCTCCAAGTCTGCTTCCAAGGTCCAAGCTTACAAACTGCATGCTCTTTCACCTCCTTAATATATAGCTTGTTAACATAAAGGCTTTAATATCTAGAGTGTTTCCACCCAATAGAATCTTTTTCTGCCAATAACCCATTCAGAACATGTAATAGCTCAGCCACTCTCCCAATCTCCCAGTCATTTAAATACCTTCTAAACCCAATATTCCATCCATGAGTAGACCATACCTTAGCCACTGTTTCTTCCAGATTGGTGCACAAGGAAAATAAGTTTGAAAATAAGACCATCAATGTCTCTCTCATATCCATTCCAATTCTTCTTCCAGGATAGGATTTTAGTCTCATTTTCCACCTTGTAGGCTATGTTTCTACTTAGTTTAGGCCACAAGTTTCTTATTGTTCTCCAAGCTGACACCTCATAAGTGTTATTCACAAAGCTAGAGACCCAATTTCCATTCAACCTACACTTGTTGACTATCACCTCCCTCCACAGGGCTTGTTCCTCAGTGTTGAACCTCCATAGCCATTTTGACAAGAGGCATCTATTCTGCAACCCTAAGTTTCTGATTCCAAGTCCACCGGATTGTTTATGTAACTGTGCATTCTGCCATTTGACTTAAATTCAAACCTTTCCCTTCTTTATTCCCTAACCACAAGAAATCTCTTCTTAGTTTGTCCAGTCTTTCTTCCACTTTGGTAGGCATAGGGAATAAAGAAATAACAAAAGTTGGAAGAGAGTCCAACACTGAGTTTATTAAAGTGACTCTCCCTCCTAAAGAGATACACTGAGCTTTCCAATTGGCCAATTTTTTGTCTTTTCAATTATGTCATCTCACATTTCTAGCTCCTTATGTTTGTTTCCCAAAAACATGCCCAAGTAAGTTGTGGGAGGCTGTTCTATTTTACACCCCAATATCCTTGCCAGGCTCTGAAGTTGAGGGACTTCTTTAATTGGAAAGATGCTGGTTTTCCTCCAATTTACTGATAAACAATAAAAAGAGACTGCTTCAAAAACCACCAAAGTCATTCTTATAAAGGCAACCTGGTCAGCCTTGGCTACACCAAAAATAATTGTGTCACTTGCATAAAGCAGATGACAGCTGCATTTCCCCTCCTAAAGAGTTACTAACCTTGAAACCTTTTAGCCAACTGAATTTGGATAGCTACTCTCATCATACTATTATAGCCCTCCATGGCTAGGATGAAAAGGAAAGGAGAGGGTGGGTCTCCCTACCTTGGACCCCTTTCTGATGGGAAAAACCAACATGTTCTCCATTCACTAAAATGGAGAACCTGATAGTTTTTATGCAATAGTCAATCCACTTCAGCCATTTCTCCCCAAAACCCATCTACTCTAGAATCCTGATTAGGAAGCCCCAATTGACATAACCCTTCGCTATGTCCAGCTTGCACATAATTCCTAGATCATCTCCTTTTGAGTCTAGTGTCCACACACTCACTTGCTATCAGTGTTGCGTCAATGAACCGCCTACCTTTTATGAAGGCTATCTGGTGTTTATTCACAAGCTTCCTGATCACTCTCTTTAACCTTTGGCAATCATCTTGTATAATCCACCTATTAAGCTTATAGGTCTGAAATCTCTCAGTTCCACAACTCCCACCTTCTTGGGGATCAATGCCACATAGGTTGCATTTAGGCTTTTCTCAAACACTTGGTGGTCATGGAATTGCCTCAAGTGCTCAAGATGTCTTCCTTGAGCATTTCCTAAAAATTTTGATAAAAACTCATTGGGAAGCCATCCGGGCCTGGGGCCTTGTCCCAGGTACACAACTTGAGTGTCTCAAGGACTTCATCTTCCTCAAACACAACTTGGTCTGTTCTGCCATGTTTCTGTTTGGGAACTCAAACAGAAACTTCTCATCATTCAGTTCGCAAATGTTGATTCCAAAGGCTTTCTTCCAATTAGTTGATGACCATCTTCTTATGTCTGCTAAAGTTGTCCTCTCCTTGGGCTTCTCACTGCAAAACCCAACTAAGCATCTAGATAACAGATCACCCTCCTGGTACTTATTTTATCTAGAACTTCCACCTTACCAATAATGCTTTTGACCTCTGCACTGCATAGGTTCCTGGATTGCCATTTACTATCTCATATAGCATTAGCATATGGGTAATCAACAACCACCCTTGTACTGGGTATTTCTCCTTTCCTTTCTTGCATTTAATGAACCTGTCAATCTTCAATGATCCACCCACCCCGCATTCAATGCCAACTCAAGAATAATTAGGCCTGACCTTCCCCCTCTATATACATTTATGATGCCTATGAACCTCCCATGTTTATTATGTTTTCTCGTGCAAAAATGCACTGCCTCTTGCTCAGCTAGTTTCCACCTCCTTGTCTCCTTTTTTTCTTTGGATGCTTCTCTTAGACAGAGACAGATCCATTCCAACACCTTTCTACTCATGGACAATCTGCGCATCATCTTTCTGCTTCTCTCTACCCATTTGTACCATTCAGCTTTCTCAGTTTCCCATCTGGTGATATCGAAAGACTTGAAACCAGCATTGAAATAGATTTGATTCTCCTCCATCCTACTAGTGGGTGATTTATCAATAATCACAGTGGGTGATTATTGTTGGCTATTTAAAAAAAAGGGTTGATTCCGGTAGAGGATGCCGGAAAAGATGGGTTCCTCTCTCCTAAGAAGTAGGAGAGAGAAAGAACATTGGGAACTATGTCTGGGAGTAAAAATCAATTGACTTATTTGACCTTGTTTCTCAACACCCTCATGCTCGAAAATTGTTCAAACTTATATTCTTAGAGAAATAGAATAATTATAGCTAAACTTAGTTCTCCGGGGTATTCGATTCCGGATTTAAAAGCCGGATTATATTCGCAGCAACCGCTTATCCTTTTCGAATGAGTTTTGGGTATGATCAGTACCCAATTGATTGTTTTCATAAACAAAATCAGAAAAAACTACAATCTGCTCCAACAAAAACTCCATTAACACTGAAATAACAGTCCTCATATACATCATCCCACTCCCTGTTGTACTGCATAAGAAACATAACATGCTCCACATGTGCAAATTCATTCACAGCTGCACCTTGCCAAAAATCTTCTCAATTGTTGGATTGATTTTGTGTAGAAAATGCATCCATGTTTTTGCATTTAATTCTATTGATAATGTCCACAAATTACGTTAAGTATCCATGTAGTGATGGTAACTACCATATGGTACGTCATATTATCTATTAAGAAAGCTTTAACAGACAATCTCAAAACTGATATAGTTACACTATTTTAGGGTTATTTTTTTATAAACGTGTTTTAGGGTTATCTTGCTATTAGAAACACTAATGTTCTAGCTACATGCATTTTTGTCCCTGTAATAAATTCAACTTTATGGTTATCAAGAAAAAATCACCTAATAAAGGAGGAGGAGTATTGTTTTGTGACTTGAACAATTATAAGTAAACTCTCATTTAGTAACTTTGATTGCCCAAGCAGTCAAGCATATTTAAAATGAAGTATCCACTTTAAAATCCCCATAAGGTCACATTTGATAGAATAAGAAATTACTACTTCTCTTCTTTTTGAATAAGAAAATATATTTCATTTGGTTTAAGTCCAATTCGAATGCATGGATAGGAGCCCACTTCATGAACCCCGTTCATCACTATTCTCCATCTTCTACATTTCTATTTTAGAAGGTTACTACTTGAAACTTCAAGAATAGTTTGTTTTTTTTAAAAATTGGCAATATGTTGAAACCTCAAGAACAGTGTTAAATAGTGGAACTCTTTCTCTCTTTAACTCACCGTATATTGTGATGTCTTCAAGTAGGACAGTTTTGGTTACTAGTAGTTTGTGGAAGGTGAAGAAATTTAAGATGCATTTTGCACATGCCACTAAAGGCACATTGGTTGCATATAGCTAATTTGATTGAAGCAGAGCTAAATTTTGGAAGTAATGACTGGTCAATGTTGTTTATACTGTTACTGGTGATAGTGTAATGACTGGTCAATGTTGTTTATACTGTTACTGGTGATAGTGTAATGACTGGTCAATGTTGTTTAAATTCAGAGTCTAGCTATGCATTTGAATGGTCTAACGGTTGTCCAACTTGTCAAGAAGAAATTTGACAAGAACTTACTGCTAACCTCTTTTAGATAGATTCATTCAGAAGGGAAGGACCTGCATTAGTATCTCAATAATTTAAACATGGTTTTGATTCACACTCCATGTTACCGGCAGACTTCCCGGTACTCAAAATGAATTGTCTAAGTCCTCTCCTTTAACTCATTGTTTATCTCGTAATAGTTCAATTCACCCGTAAAGCTAAGCTCCTACTGCTACTCCTCCTTTGTCCCTTTCACACAACAATTCTGGTCACCTAAGAGGACTAGCTATCTTTTTCTATATCCACAATAACTTGAAAAGCCAAGAAAAAAATCTACTCTGACAATGAACACGTATATTCATCACATGGAATGCCACACTCAATTGTTAGCGATTGCAGACCAGTTTTATCGCATGAGCTCAAAATATAGGTAATTTATGTTGTCACTTCATCAAGTTGACGACCTTTACATAAGAGGTTTCAGAGAGGTCAACTTGTTTTTCACTTTAGCTTCATTTATTTTAGTATTGTTACGATGGTTCAGAATAATAATATGATTGTTGATAGTTGACAAAAGTTTAGATAGGGATATTACATCCTTCTGGATTTATCAGCGGTTTTATTTTCTCAAATTATCTAGGTTTAATTTTTATCAAGATTTTTTGGCGAAAAACCTAGCCTGGATACTAGTTTAATATTAATGCAAGCAAATTAGAAATACCAGCTTTTTAGCAATAAGCATTCACCACTTGTTTACAAGCAGATAATACCAGCTTGGTGTTGCCTTGCTCACTAACATTGACAGGCTTCAATGGATTTCTTAAATCAGCAGAATCACCGGTAAACCAATAAACATGCTTTCCAAATTTAACATATAAAACATTGTTAATCAAGTCAAAGAACTCTGAATGATTAACATTCTCATCCCTCTTTTCTAATTCCAGAATATACACCTAATTTCATAGTAGATACTTAAATATTTGTCTAGGAAACCCACATGGATATATAGAACTGGATCAATGCCCTATTAGGTATGCTATAAAAAGTTTCTTGGGCAATATCAACAAAAGTCATTTTCTAATGTTGGTTGCGTAAAAAATTGAAAAAGATTTTCAGAAAAATATTTTACAGAAGATAATTAACCTTTTTTTACAACAAACCTCAGTACCAAGTGGAATCGACAAATGAATCATCTATATCCTTTGTGCTCTGTTTGGTCTCATTTGATTACGACACTATATAGTTTTATCTTTCAAGACAGATTAAGAGCTCTCTAAACTATAGGTTCTCCAACAGTCACATTTATCCCTACAACTACAATGCCATATAGATCTCAAAACAAACTAAAAAGACTTCAAGCAAATATTGAACCTAATGTGTGTGTTACCTTACTTAAGACTAAACGAGTTGGTCTAGCCTATATGGATCTTATACTTCTTTTGTTTCGCGAAATGCGCAGAATTCTGGTAGACTAAGTCTAAAATTATTTACACCACAGCTCTCTGTAATAGTACTCTTATCAGTTGCCTCTACAAGATTAAAGATGCATCTAGAAAATGTTTTTTTTTAAAACATGTAACATAAGAAATAGTTTTGCCATCCATACCCAAAAAAGCCTAAATATAAAGGATACTCATGTATAATATACATCCTTATTGTAATCAAAAGTTGGATAACATTCAAATGAAGTGTTGTTCTTCTAATGGTGGTTGTTCCTCCAAAGGCCTAGTCTAATATTAAGAAACTACACCCCGAAAAACAGGATATGGATTTTGAGTTCCATAGATGTATGTAGAGGTTGTTTAGCATCTACAGTTGAAGTCATAGAGGCAACAAGAAAAACCTTGTTGAGATGAGTGTTGGTTTTCAGTACAACGTTACCTGATCATTTATATCGTTATCAGGAAACAAAAGATAACCTGAGATTTTCGTATCAAGATTGTATGTCTCAGTTCAGTTCTATTGTTTTTTGGGAGTTCTTAAACGATGATTTTGCTGTATCATTCTAAATCCATAATTTCTACCAAGATCCTTATTTGAGTATCGTGTTAGACAACTAACGGACAGTAGCTACCATCTTTGCCAAGAAGACAGAAAACTTC